GAGCATTGTGCTTAGATTCTCCATAATATAAGCACAATCCTTCTTGACAATGATGAGTCTTTTCTTGCTTAATAAGAAGTTTGAAACATATCGCATCAATTTGCATATCTTCTACTTCGGAATGTATGTATTAAAGAAGTATTGGTATTGCCATTGAATTATAGTAACGTTGAGGTCCACTTATACGGTTCTCAAATCGAAATTCAAAAAAGCGATTGTCGCACTTCACAACAAAGTCATTTGCTTGACTCAATGTTTGAGGATTAGATAAGTTGAGCATTAATTTTTTTACCTCATATTATAATCCATAGAGAAATTGGCTAATAAGCGCAGCATCATTTCACTTGATATCAATTGCAAGTTGTCAAAATTGTAAAGCATATAATATTACTGATCGATTGTCTTGTCGTAAAATATGGATCTTATTGGTTGCAACAAAAATTGCATCATGTTCTCCATATATGGATCAAAACTCCGCCAGAAAAGCCTTTAGATTATCTAATATTGAATCTCATCATTCAAAAAAAGATGAAAACCATGATAGTGTTGAACCTGAAAGAAGCGTATTAATGAATCTTACTTACGATCCTAGAGTTGGATAGCTTTGGAATTGAAGTTCAATCACAAGTTGCACTTCATTGATAAATCCTCGAAACTTAGATCTGGTGCCATCAAACTTCTCGGATAGGGCAATTCTTGGTTCTCGAACACTAGAAGGGCATTCCACCATAGGAGAAGGGACATGGTTTGGTGCAGATGTTGAAGCAGCTCCAATCTTTTCTATATCTTCACTTCCTGCCAATCTTGTTGCTCTTTGTGGTGGTAAATTGAGTTGATGCATCGCAAGCATTAACTCCTTCAATTGCTCTTGCATTCATACCATTGCACTCTTCATTTCAGCAAGTACTGCCACGATAACACTTAGAAAAGAAAAGTTGTCTAATATCGCTCAAGACAAATAGAAGAGAGCACTTGAGAACAAATAAAATACTAAGGACAATATCAGTTTAGAAGAGGGTAATCCGCAACTTCTAATATGCTTGTGTCTTATCAAGAAAAAGGGATAATCCACTCTTAATCAAGATTAGACAAAGCTCTGATATTGTAAGTAGATTCATGTCAATCTATCAAGGATAAGAACATGCTAAAGACAAATAAATAAGTGAGACTTCTCTCATAGAAAGATGACAAAATAGAAATAATTTGATATATATATATATATATATATATATATATATATATATATATATTAAAAAAGAAACTGGAATGGCTATTGCCAAAAGCCAAGAAAACTAGAGACCTTTGAAACTAGACTAGAAATAAGAAAGGAGTTAATAAGAGTGAAGAAGGCTTCACTCTTGTCTTTATATATACTATCTAACTAGGAGCTATGTGGCGACGTTCTATAGGACCGCTAATATGTGTTGACTTTATAGGATACATGCCTTGACTTACAAGGCAAGTTTTTCTACATGTGAACCACATAGTTAGCTTGGTCTTCAAACTAACAACATTTGTGGCACATGGCCAACTTTTTGACCACGTTTCTAATCCCAAAAAGTCAATTAAAAACACATATAAAGTCAAAGCAGCGTCTATGAAGCTTCTAGGAAGCTATCATACCAAATACTATAGAATTAACTTACTTTTACTTACTTTTACTTACTTCTACCTATTTATATATGTAATTATTGGCTTACATGCATATGTCCATGATAGTTGGTCATTATTCAAGTAACTAATTGAATTATAAAAATAATATTGCTATTTAGAGACTACAAGATATAATTGGCTATTCTTTTGAGGATCACATTATGTCCATTGCTTACAAAGATTTTGTTCAAGTTGTAACAAAGGTAGTTATTAATAAAAGTATCATTTACAATAACCATTAACAAATTTCAAAGACAATCATTAAAGAATGTAGGAATAGATCTTAGAACCTTATATGTGCACATAGATAGTAACAAATTATTCTTTTAAGTCATATTATTCTAAATATAATCAAGATTCTATATTTTAAAAATAATAAAGATAAAATACCACCCTATAATATAATTTATTTTAAGATTCTTTTAATTAGTTTTTTTAAATTTTTGTAATTCATAAGAATTATGTTTGCTAATTATATTTTAAAAAAAACATAAATAGCTCCATTGTCATGACATATATATATATATATATATATATATATATATATGTTCTTCATTTATCAAAATTTCTTTAGTATCAGTCAATTTTTAACTTAGTAACTACTAATTTAAAACTTACAATTTATTTGTATCGAATAGTATAAATTTATATAAGTCTATTATGTAAGACAGCTTGGATTTAACACAAAAAAATAAAGAAGTCATTTAATTAGCCATAAAGAAATGAAGTCAGAGAACATTGAACTAAGAAACATAGGAACAAATGAATATGACAACCAAAGAATATATAAACAAGGAACATAAAAATATAGAGGTGAAAGAACATGGGAGCATAAATGAACAAGGGAATCGATGAATGTATTAGGTATTGCATTGCCAAAATGCACAAGTTTCTATTATATATATATATATATATATATATATTTAATAGAAGATATGATTTGTCTTTTGTACAACTTAAAATAAGACAAGTGACACTTTGTTGCCATTGATTCGTGTACAAATATCTATATTTGTTCATTCATCTATTTCAAGTAATTGTAATTTCTATCTATATCTGATAATAAATTTTTAAACAACTATTATTCAGTTATACTATTGAATGTTACTGCTACTTCAATGTTACAAAAGTTTTCATAAAAATGTTAAATGATGTTATAACCATCAATTAAAAGTCATATTTCCCACTTTTGTGATTTTATATGGCATCTCTTACAAATAGAATAAAAATCTCACACATCACTTTTACATCTATATTTCTAGGTTGAAAGTTTTTGCAAAACTTGCAAAATAAAATAAATAAATAAAATTTAAAAAGTAATTGTTTTTACTCCTAACAACTAAAATTAATTACCTTAAAACTCCAACCATAAAATTTATCGAAATTGATCATGGTTGCTATAATATATATATATATATATATATATATATATAAATCAAATCAAATCAAATCAAGCAACCAATTGTGAAATTTAATAAAATAAAATTTGAATATAATTATAATAATTCACTTTACAGATTCATTGTTATTTTTTTAAGTATATATATATATATATATATATATTAAAAACAATACCACAACTTGATAATAAATTTGCATTCAAAGTAAATGAGTAAATAAAATAAATTATGTGGTCATGATTAAATTATAAGTTTTAAAACTGTTTTGATTTTCTTACATACTTATAAAAATATTAAAAAAATAACCTTTATTTAATGCTACTAAAGTATCTAAATGACTTTTTGAGCCCAAGAAATGATATCCTTTCATATCATAGATGTCTCTGCAATAAATATAATATCATTAATGTGTTGAACATAGAAGGATTTAAATCTAATTTAATTGTTGAAAAAAATATTATATTAAGTCTGTAATAAATTAATTAATATGTAATAATTATTGTGTATTAATATTCCTGGGGTTTTTAGAGCTTACTTCTTTCATCTATTCATATTTGTACAGTGTTGGTCTATTCAATAACAAGATTTTAATGAATTTTTGAGATTCTAAATTTTGGATTACATTTTTGAAATTTTGTATTATTATTATCAATCAATAGAAAAATATTTTATGAGTTATAATTTCTTTGTAATGTATTTCATTATATAAATTTCTTCCAAAAAGAAGGTAAGTAATAAGTCTATAAACATCAATTATGTCTTTGTAAAAAATGTTTAGAAATCTAAAAGAACACAAAGGTGTTCAAGTTAAGGTGATTTTATTGCAAGTTTACAATATCAAATTTGGTAATATAGAAGTCATATTCTAAAAATATTTTATAAGTTTTAATTTATATCAAGTAATAACAATGGCTTTTTAAATGATAAGAAGTACCTATATTCGTTAGTTAAATGGATGTGTCTCCATTTTATGTAGAAAATCAACAAATATCCAACATTGTAATAATAATTCTTTGATCAATCAATGTGTTTTGTATGTGTGAAATAACATATTACTAATGCTCTGAATATGACTAGTTGATAGAGAAAGACACCATTTCATAGACATGTAGCAACATCAACTTGGAACGATTTTTTGTATGCTTTTGAAGCTTTTAGATACATTCATTGATTTTTCAACTTGTTTATTTAGTAGAGCGTATAATGATCTTTTCAAACCTTATACAATCTTTGAGAGATTTGTAAAATTCAATCTCAATAATTAACTCTCATTTTTTATTTATTTTTTTAAGTATGATTTTTTATGTATCTTAGCCTAACACTCTTACTCTTTCTGCTTTTTATCTTTGATTTCATTAAATAATTAAAAAAAATCAAATATATATATATATATATATATAGATAATAAAACAGAACACAATTTAAAACAAGAAGAATAAATACACATATTATTTATGCCAATCAAAATAACAAGAAAGATGAAACTCTCCTTTATTATGATTATTCATGAGTAGAAGTGCAGTTTATGAATTATATATAAAATATACACCATAAAATTCCAAAAGCCATACACAGAAACAAACAATGTATCACATGAAAAGTCTTGAATGGAGATACTTGTAATGCTAACATGACATATTCATCTTTTTCTAATCACAGTTAAACTTCTTCTCATCAACAGCAAATAACCCAATACAACATAATGAACATCACACTACAAAATTAAAATGATAAAAAAAATAAAAATAAACAAGCATTAATGTCGTTCTTTGAATGAGCTTTGAGCAAGGAGTGACCTGGCGCCCAATCAGCACCCCACTCAAGTCGGCGCCAGAGGTCCACGTGGGATGGCGCAAGGGGGTCCGTAGAAGCACACGTGGAGGGTGACGTGGACGGAGGGCTGGGAGGGGTCTCACCCGGTGCTTTCCCTGTGACCCGTTCATTTCATTGCTACTTCGGCATTTGCAGCAGGAGCAAGTGAAGAACCTGAGGTGTGTCTGTGTGTGATTGTGAGAGAGAGCTCTGCGCTGCAAATTCTCGCACAATGCGCACTCTACTGCGATCGCCCTGCATCTCTCTCTCGTCCCTCGCACCACACCGCGTCGCCCGATCGCTATCGCTCTCCTCGTCCAACTCTCGTCTCTTCCCGTGCCCTGTGCCGTCTGCTGCGGCTATTTCGGGCATTGGGGTTATAGGGGGCGCTCGGAGGCTTGGTTTCGTTCAGTTTCGGGGCCAGGGGCTGTCCCGGTGCTTCGCCGCCATGGCTCTGGAGAAAATCAAGGTGGAGAATCCCATTGTGGAGATGGACGGTATGGTTCTTGTTTCCGTGGTGGTTGAATTGTGCTTGGGGCGGAATTTGTTGGACTAGTTGTTTGGGAGGCGCGGGTGAACCTGATTTTGGTGTTGTTGAGCTCAATTTTTAGCGGTTTGTTTTTTCTTATTTTTGATTCGTTTGTGTGTATCGGACGAGTGATCGATTCGTTTAACTGTTTGTTTCAAATTGGGAGGAGATGGACGTACAGTTGATATGGACTCGGAATCGTGACAATTCAGTGGATGGAATGCATAGTTTTACCAATTTTCATACGCCGAAAATAGCAAAGCTGTCGCATCTGTGGTATTTCTTTGAATTGCTCGATTCTTTGTAAAATTTGGCGGCTCATTAGTTTGTTATAGTCAATCGGCAGAATTGGATTTCCACAGGACTGTTTTATATGCCGAATTGTACTCTTTAAGTGTGACCTTGGATGAATATGAAGTCGGGCTGAACATTGCGTAATCGATAGCCACACTTGTTGACCTATTCACGGTGGAAAAACATGGTCTACACTTTGCCACTGCACGTGTAGATCTATTATGTGTTTTTTGATGGTCTTTCGTATGCTATATGTCTTCTTTATTCAGTTGCAGTGTCGTTTTTATTGAACTCGTTTTCAGACAATCTAATGCTTTTGGCAATTCTTGCACGCCCATAGTAAGAAGGAGGTTTCTTAGTATTCACAAGAGTTCGTTAGATCCCAAATTACAATGTTGAGGTTTTTCCTCCTGCAATTCTATCTAGGCTCTTGATATTACACATTGGACGAAGCGCTCCTAGTTTCTTGTGTTTCTTCGAACTTCAGTTTATTCTGAGTTGTGCGGTCATTATGGTGCAGGTGATGAAATGACAAGAATAATTTGGCAAATGATCAAGGAAAAGGTAAGTACAACTTATCTTCTTTCATTATTTTACAGTCGGTCGGAGCCTGCGTCTGAGGAGGAGGCCATGACGGCCTTTAGTCAAGCCTTTTAAGGTCAGCTGTACAATGGTCGAATCTCCTTTTATCATGTAGTTGGAAACGCGATATCGACTGTCTATCAGTATTTGACAATGTCCCAACATTTCAATTTAGCAGTAAATTTATTCCGGATGGTGGAAAACTTGGTTTTCTGTATTGAGGAGAGTTTTATCTTATCAGCCCTTCGTGGGATCTGCTGCAGCTCATCCTTCCATACGTGGACGTGGAATTGAAATACTACGATCTGGGAATACTAAATAGAGATGCAACTAATGACAGGGTGACGCATGAGAGTGCTGAAGCTACGCTCAAGTATGAAACCATTTCCATATTGAATTTTTCTGTTTATGCAATATTATCCGGGAGAGAGATTGGTCAACGGTGTTCTCTCATGCTTGCAGAGCGACTTGACGTCTGTATTTAATAACAAGAACCAGCCATTGAATAATGGGCAGCAGATAGCCTAACCCATGGACAATTTACCAGCGAGATTGCCCTCCCTAATTTTTTTGGCTTTCTTGTGCAGATATAACGTTGCTGTCAAGTGTGCAACCATAACTCCTGGTTTGTTTCATTTGCGGCACTTGTTTGAATGTAGAAACCCTCTATAGGATTCTATATTTTCTTATTTATACGACCTTGTTTTGTTTAAATTGCCAGTGTTGGTGTGGTACCTACCCGAACACTGGTTAAGACTAATCTTGCACACAAGGCAATAATGTTGCGCACGATAGTTCTGTCCAAATCTTACAGTTTTGGTTGCAATTTGTCAGTTAACGAATTAGTGTTGTTCTTGTTGATTTCAGATGAAGGTCGTGTGAAGGAATTTGGGCTTAAGCAGATGTGGAGGAGTCCAAATGGGACCATCAGGAATGTTCTCGATGGTATAAAATGCTATATTTGGCTAGACAATATTTATGTGCTTCTGTATCATGTACATTTGTGTTGTTCCCACCAGCTAAAAGGATAACGAAACACTGTCTTTATCTTTTGGATTTGCATGATTTGGAGTTCGAGGACACTAGTGTCAAATGTCAACAAGGTATCTTCCAACTCAGAAACTCATATTAGGATTTGTATGTGCTTGGTTGTTGGCAGGCACTGTGTTTCGCGAGCCTATTTTATGCAAGAACATTCCCCGTCTTGTTCCTGGTATGCGCTAAACGGTACCTTTGACTTTTTCACAGACCCATAGTTTTGAACTACGTCCTAAGAGGTATTTGTATCTGCTGGAAGAGTTAAATTGCAGTTGGTGTGCAGGCTGGACAAAACCTATCTGCATTGGCAGGCATGCTTACGGTGATCAGTACAAGGCAACAGACGCCGTATTCAAAGGACCGGGCAAGCTCAAGATGGTTTTTGGTACAAGTTTGACTTTTCTCTGTATGCGGTTGTTTTATCACCATCTTTCTGGTGTTGTACATTTACGGGTGAATGATATCACTTAGGATCAGATGTATGATGTCTGTGAAATGTAATGTAGTTGGATAGCAATGAGACTTGTTACCCTGTTTGGAATTGAAGCAATTGAACCTGGGAGTTGTTCATAAGATCTCCATGACAACCTGTAGCTTTATTGCTAGTGAAGTATCAACTATGTACCAGGAATGCGTATAATGGTGTCCTTTGCGTATGCAGAACCAGATAATGGTGGAGAACCTATAGACTTGGATGTTTACCACTATAATGGGGCTGGAGGAGTTGCACTTTGTATGTACAACACTGATGAGGTATGTTTTGACTTCAGATTAATATCACAAACGCTGGATGTCTTAATCAGAGTTCATCCTAACGTACGTTATGATGCTTGAAAATATGATAGAACAGCCTGTTCTTTTTTCATTTTTTCTTCAATGGCCTAACCGGTGTGATTGTAAGCAGTCCATTCGAGGATTCGCAAAGGCATCTTTCACCATGGCAATGCAAAAGAAATGGCCATTGTACCTGAGCACAAAGAACACCATCTTAAAGAAATATGATGGAAGGTAATCTGGTCATCTCAGACAGTTGTCTTCTCGTCTTAACAATGTCTCAGCTGTTGTTTTGATGGAGTAGCATTTCACACTGAAATGTGAACACGTTCGACGTGTTCGAACTGAGGTTCATTAATGTGAGGCTTTCTTAGTGATTTCTTGTACTCATTCTCTTAGGTTTAGCATATTGATTTATTCGAGATAGGTAGGCCTTGGAAATAGTCAATAATTCCTAGACATGGTGATATATCTTTTCATTATTGTGTGTGGTAATTTGTTTGGTCATATGGTGAATTAAATGGCCCAGTGGTTTCTGTTCAGGTTCAAGGACATCTTTCAGGAAGTATTTGTAAACGAGGGATGGGAGGCTAAGTTCAAAGATGCCGGAATCTGGTAACTGGCTTTCTTCAGACATGAGCTCTTGCTTACATGCCGTGATTTCATCATAGTTCATATTGTGGATGCTGTTTTTCTTTTACTTGTTCTTCTAACTTGTATTTCTAACATGTACCGTGGTGGTTATATGGGTATTTATTGATGGTGTACGTTATATCAAATATTCTCTTTCGATACTGAACATGTGTTAAACATGCACAAATTACAGGTATGAGCACCGTCTTATAGATGATATGGTTGCATATGCCCTTAAGAGCGAAGGTGAATATGTATGGGCCTGTAAAAACTACGACGGAGATGTTCAAAGTGATATGCTTGCTCAAGGTAATGATCCATTTCTAATTTTTGGAAGGATCCAATGGCCATTAATTCAGGATATTTGTTAGCTCTTCTTGATTGCTGAGCACTTATTTTTGTGGTGCACATAGACGATTTAATGCTGTGTACTTTAGCTGTACAGACCTAGAATAGTAAATCATTTTTTTGTGTGCAGGTTTTGGATCGCTTGGCCTTATGACTTCTGTATTGGTATGGTTTGCTTCACTTGTTTCCGCTTTTATTGTAATTTCTTTCACGTTTGGACTACAACGCAGGTTACAAATGTTATGATTATTCGCTTGGTCTTAATATGTGCACTATTTATCTCCCAAACCAGAATTTGCTGTTTCTGTTATATTTTGTATGCTTGGGTCTTGCATCCTGCATGACAACTGGTAGTTAATACCAAAAAGTAAAATTTAGTTCAATTAATACTGAGAGGTATGGCACTCTTGGTATGGGCGTTCATTTATTTTACTGAGCAGCAATTGGTATTTTTGTCATCAGATCTGTCCAGATGGGAAAACTATTGAAGCAGAAGCTGCTCATGGGACTGTGACCAGGCACTTCAGGGTGCACCAGAAAGGAGGTGAAACCAGTACCAACAGTATCGCTTCTATTTTTGCTTGGACTCGCGGTCTTGGTCACAGGTATGTTCCCTGCCCGAGTGCTCCTTTAAAATTTTATTACTACGCTGCATATTGGTCTTGTCGGACATAACGAATCCCAGGTATTTCCGGCTTAGATAACTCTATTGATGATTAGAAACTGGAGCTTAATCTTGCACGTTGGATCGATCCTAAATCTCTATCCGATTGCTTCAGAGCGCTCTTGGACGGCAATGCGAAGCTTCAAGAATTTGCTCAAAGCCTGGAGGCAGCTTGCATTGCGACGGTTGAGTCTGGAAAGATGACGAAGGATCTCGCTCTCCTTAGCCATGGCCCCAAGTAAGTTCTTTAAGATTGCACAATGGTTGAGTGAGGTCTTCAGGCAGTGAGTCCCAAATCTTACCCTGTGTATTTTGAGTAAAAGTTGAATGCATTTTTTTTTTTCTGAACATTGGCTTATTATATGTGTCATTCCTTTTGGGGCACTTGATTCTAGCGCAAGCTTCTGATTGTATTGCATTGAACTGCAGTGTGAGCAGGAATAATTATCTCAACACTGAAGAGTTCATCGATGCTGTTGCAGACGAGCTAATATCCAGGTTGTCACCGAAATCGAAGTTGTAGTGAGTTATTCTCTGTGTCTATTCTTGTTTGTAACAGCAGAACCTGCTTTGCATTGCACCTCCTTTGTGACTTCCACTCCAATGTGAAAATAGAAAAAATTGTGAACTCTATAAACAACAACACACAAATCTTTGCTAAATGGTGGTTCAGCACACACTAATATGTTTTAGAGTTCATTTTGCATGCTTAAATTATAAAATATAAGTGTTGCACCAAGGATCCTAATCTCACGTTCTTTGTTTTGTATCCGTTATTATGGAGGTTTAGATTTGACCCAAATATTACAAATGAAAATTTCGATACATGAAGGTTGAAGCTTGTGTTTTTAAAAACAACAAGGAGGGTATATGTATATTGTTCACAGTGACCAAGTAGAGCCTTGGGTCAATTTAAAATTTGGGTGAGTTAATTTAATAATTTTCTATTTCAACTATCTAAATATTCAAGATATATATGTTAAAAACATAAAAGCTTTCTAATAATAATAGAGACTTTATTACTTTAATGTTTTTATTCTTTATTAAATATAATTACAATTTTTAATTAACATTACTACAATACTTGTATCATACCTAAACCAACAATACTACAATTATTGTATTAAAAGATCCAAAAAAGATTTTTTTACCACTAAAAGTATTTAACTTGATTTTGAATTATTTGCATAACAATGAAATTTTTTTGAATAATACAATTTCTATAAGATTAATACAAAATAAATTCAATTCTATAGTCATCTTATTAGACTTAATTTCTTTTTTAGTGTAAATAGTTAATTTATTAGTTCTATGTTATAAAATGATGATTTCATGAAATAAAGATGTCGTAGTCTTTCTTTCTTTATACATGGTTTTTGTATGTTAATTAATAAGTGTAATTTTAAAAAAAACTTCAACCAACTTCATTAAAACTAAACAATGTTTAAGATGATGCTTATGAATTAAAAATGATTTCAATCAACTACCTAAAAAAATTGTATATATATGAATATTATTACAATTTCTTTGAGCACACTTTTATATTCTATTTTAGATGTCTATACCAAATTTATTAATTATTTATCAAACCAATTTTTTTTTTAATTTTTTGAAATATTAAAAAAATATTAGTATAACTTATATAATACTAATTAAATATATTTAGTTTGTTGTGTTTTTTTAGATTATGAAATAAAGAAAAATTGTGAAATTAAGAAGTTTAGCAAGTATGATGGAAATGAGGCTTCAACTAGCAAAGACTTCTTATGGCATATAGAATAGATTCACATAGAAAGCCTTGGTGATTGTTTGATAAAGAGTGTTATGGAGGTTTTTGGAATATGGTGGTTTGTGACAGTCATCTACAATCACAAGAGACATGTGAGATATAGCTTGGATGATTTCTATAATGTTCAATGATATTAAAGCAACATGAGAATTAATATTCTTTTCTTGAGTGATTTTGATGGCAAGATAGTATTATTTGTTGATAAAAGTTAACTTGTATTTCTAAGAAGGACACAATGAATCACTTCAAATCCTTTCCAATGATAGAAGAAATTGCACTTATTTGACCTTGCATGCTCATTAGTTAGTAGGACCACCAAAGGGAGAGCTTCTGCCTTTCTCCGCACTTATGTCAAGTAGAAAGATCTACAATATGATATTCCACCAATCACAATCCTCCACATATTTTAAGTATGCACATGACAACATTAAGTGTATTTCTAGCAAGTTGGAATATGTTTGCAGCATCAATCATATATATATTTCCTACAAGATGTTAATAGTGTTGTTATTTGAAATTTTTATTTCATATTTTTTACTTGAGTGGTTTTTAGTAAAAACTTAGAAGCTACATTAAAATATCAAATATGTTGAAAGTAACTATCAAAACAAAAAATCAATTTTTTATGTTTTTGATAATTATTTAAATTAAGATATGAATTGTCATATTTAGAGTTGTGTTTTTTAAAAAAATTACTTTGTTCATTTTATGGCATATTCTCATTTCATATTATATTCAAAAATAAGACTCTTAAAGAAAGAACTTCTTTATTTAGAAAGAAATATTGATTAAATTTTGAAATATGGCCTTTCAAAATATACTTCTAAGTATAAAGTGCCTTGAAGTAACATGATACATTAGATATTTACATGTAGACATAGTAATCATATTATATGACAATATGCAAAGTTTCAAAATAGTTATGTGTTATAAAGACTTTAATAGATGTTTAAAATCATACATAAAATGTTGCAAAGTAGTTACAAGCTATATATATATATATATATATATATATAATGACTTACCAATAAGCAATAGGAGAAATGTTGTGATATGGTTCAAACCCTTGAGATGGTGAAATACATGTAATGTTTTTATTGAAAAGTATAGACATGATTATAATAAAAATATAATTAGTCAAGGATTGCTTAGAAGATTGTTGATTAAACAAGTCAAACTTAAAAGTTTCTTATAAAAAACATATAATTAGTTGTGGGTGTTGAGGTCTATCATTATAAACTAAACATATATCAAATAAAGAGCTACTTATCCAAAACCAATTGCTTATTATTTTGATAGATGTAAGTCATGTGTGCAGTAGAATTACTTGAGTTATGTACATAATAAGTAATCCACTTTAATGCATTTAGAAAAGGATGAAATGACATCAAAGGTAAAAGGTGAAAATTACGTGGTGCTTCTCCTAATACTTGTTTGGCTTCAATCTTGCACTTGAAAACCATGATACATGACAATAATTAGCAAGGATGTTTTGTCCACTTCAATACCTCTTTGATTTGTTTGGTTTTTTTTTTATTACTTATTTCTACTTCTTTTATTCTCATCTACTCATGGCATGGTGTTGGCTACTTCAAATTACAACAACAACAACTTGAAATCTAATATTAGATGGATTTTTTTTTCAAAATATATATGACAAGATTATGTTGTAAATCTCATATTTTTTTTATTGCAAAAATATGGTTTGGTAGAATTTAATTATTCAACATATCATAACTGGTTTTTGTAAATGTAATTATTAATGAATTTGTTTCAAACAGCATGAGTTAGACACTAATAATTTGTATTTCTAAGATTTTTATTTTATACAGATGAAATTTTTATTTTTCGAAATGTTAAAATGGGATAAATAACAAATAATATAATTTCAAGAAAGTGGTCATCTGAAATATCCACATTACGACTTTTATTTCTTTATTCATATATATATATATATATATATATATATATTAAAATACTTGAAAAAAAAACATTTCTAAATGTGTAATATCAATGTTTACTACCAGTGAGTGCTTTTATGATAATGAAACTGTGTAAAACATAAGTCAACCATACTCATGGAAAATAAAATTTGTGATATTTATTGGCAATCTTTTAATATTTTAAGATTTTAATTAAATTTATTTACCTTATTGAATTTTCCTTCACTTGTTTCATATTTTTAATTAAACCATGTAAAAAAATTTGAAATGTAATATATCTTGAAATGCTCAACCAAAAGTAGCAATATTTGAATGAATTTAAATAAAATAAAATGAAGGTGCTTAGTTTTAAATTAATAGCCTAGAATGTTGATGCTTTCTTAACATAAAAAACATTGAATTTTACATGACAGTCTGATTTTTTTTTTTTTTTTTTTTTTTTTTTTTTAACTTCAATTTTGAGATTTTCTTTACAAAAAAAAAAACAAAAACAAAAACAAAACAAAACAAAACAAAACAAAAAACAAAACAAAACCAAAAAAGACCAAAAAAAAAAAAAAAAAAAAAAAAAAACACATACACATACACATACACACGCACAAAAAGATGGCAACAATTCACATTGCAAAGCATACAACAAGAATGCCATCAATGTTTGTAGTCAATTTTTACACCATAATTCCCAAAATACAGTTGAAAGAATGCACTACTTCACAAAAATAATAATAATAATAATAATTTAGCAACCACCATAAGAACTAATATAAGAGAAAATATTAATATCAAAAATATTATCAATATTCTTATTATTATTGCGCTGAATTGGGTATTTATTTTCTGGAGAGAATAAATTACACACATACAGATAAGAATGCTTCACAATGAACGGCCACGTGGAAGACATGCCACGTCACGTCGAAGCCCTGTCGGTTCCAGCACAGCGAAGGGCTCCGTCACCGTCGTCATAGATCGCACCCCATAGGGCGCGTATTGCCAGATCAGCAAATTGAGGGGTCCACGTCAGAAGCCTACCTGGCACCTTGTCAGGGTTTGCTCTTCGTCGCATGTCGTCGTCACACTCGCCCCCCGCTCTCCGAGGGTCGATCGATCGATTGCGGGTGGTGCTGCGCGGAATGATCTCACCCTGCGAAGGTGTTTCAGATGTGAAGGGATTTGTGGGTGCATGTTTTGATCGGGAGATTGGGGGGCTGCGAGAGGTTTTGGACCAAGCGCAGGAGCCAGGAGGGGCACTGGCGCAGGGCAGGAGGACTCAGCGATGGCGGCGTCCGAGGAGATGAGCTCCTTGTTCCCAATCTTCATTTTGTCCGTGCTGGGTTTGTTCGTGGTGCCATGGACAATCTACCGCGTTTCTACCGCTGCCTCCAACAAGAGCAAAAATTTGCATTGTCGTTGCTCCGAGTGTATGCGCTCGCCCAAGTATCAGACGTCTCTGCTCAAGCGGGTTTGTCAGCTCTTCCCATTTGTTTTTTTATTTACTTGGGAAGATCTTTCTTCTTCGTCTTCTTCTTCTGGATCCTCAAGGCAAGTGTTAGCAGCACAGGGTTTAGGAGGTGACAGGACAGTTGGTGAGTGCAGGGGAAATCGAGTCGTAGCTGATTGTCATTAAGGATTAGGTTACGAAACCTTGTAGAAGACCCTTGGTTTAGTTCCAACTGGGTTAACTGCATGCTTTCGGAACAAGCAATTTTCAATTTCTTGCTGCTGCCATTTGATGGGTAATTGGCAGCATCTTTTTCGGCGTAATGCTGGAAAGGTTTGGATGTAGTGTGGTTGGATCAATTCTTCGATCTGTCTTAGAAGAGTCGCAATGGAAATATATACTGAATCCGAGCATGTAGGTGCCATCAGAGGATGTCGTAAAGCTAGATAGTTAAATTTCATGATTTGGTGATCATTGCTTATGAGAAACCATCGGCCGTTTTGGAGGATGATTTCATGCTGAAGAAAGTGAACGCAGTTTTTTTGTAGCTAGAATTCTTTATCGTACTCTGGTGAATCAATTAGTGATCAGTTGCTTTCTCTAGATTAGGTCTTTTAGCTGGTATGTATTATCCAAGCTTCAAGGGTTTTGTCGTGCATCGTTCAATGTGCTCTAGCCCTGGTTATGAAGATAGGAGGACACGAGTAGCAACTGTATGTCCACTTGTGTTCCGCTAGTCCAACAACATTAAAGTAGAATCTGAACACTATGTGTGCCGCAGGTTTTGTACTTGATCATTTCTTCGAGATTCTGCTCATCTTATTTTTAGGTTAGCTCAATTACTTGCATCTTCTTTTTTAAAGTGTAATTCATGACAGTTTTTTAAAATGTTGCTGGTTTCGTGAGCAGATAGGGAGAGTTTCAACGTTCAGCAATGTCACCTTGGTATTGATGTGGATAGTCATGGCGTTCCTTGTCTTCTACATCAGGGCTAGCACTCAAGAGGTAATCTATTGCTTGCGCGTTGTCTTTCATGTTTGGGAAAAGTTCACAACTGTTGAGTAGCTTCTCAATCATTCAGTGCTTCTTGTAGTTTTAGTTTGTACTCATTGCCGAGGCAATGAGTGTTGGTGGATGATCATCTTTAAACTGTAAGTTGCAATTCTTCTCGGATAATGCAGAACCAAGTCTTCGAACCCTTTTCAATTCTTGGTCTACAATCGAGCGCCACAGATGCCGACATCAAGAAGGCTTACAGAAAGTTGTCCCTACTTTATCATCCTGATAAAAATCCAGACCCTGGTGCGCTCTTATTCTGCTTTGTGATGTGTGTATGTGTGTGTGAGTTTTTCCCTCCCCGTACTGTTAGTGCCATTAGGATCTGTCGAAGTCTTATTCACCTTTCGAGTTTATTGGTGGTGTGGGCGGAACTTTAGTATTTCCCGCTACACTAACTCTTTAGCGCGTCCACTTGCAATCTGACGTTTTCTTCCATGTGCAGAGGCAAACAAGTACTTCGTGGAGCACATCACGAAGGCATATCAAGCACTAACGGATCCTGTATCAAGAGAGAATTACGAGAAGTATGGTCACCCCGATGGACGCCAGGTTTGCACCTTCATCATTTTCATGTGGGCCAAACTTTACTGTTGATAATTAACTTTGCAACCGCGGATCCTCTTTGTAACATATTGGACGGCTACTGTTGTACACTAATGTTCGACCTGTGTCTCTCGGTTTGAAGCCTGGATTGTGTATAAGATCTCCGTCTTAGAACTTTTAAAAGACTTGATGTCTCATTTGATCTCGTAGAGGGTACTGCGGATCAGAGTAACGTTACTAGTTGATGCATTTGGAGATCACATTCTTGCCTACCGACTACTTTTTCTCTTACAATTGCTCTTGGGGCTCACTGCAGGGAATGCAAATGGGTATTGCCTTGCCTTCTTTCCTTCTCAATATTCAAGGAGCAGCTGGTGGTGCTGTTCTATTGGGTTTGGTTGGGCTCGGTATTCTTCTACCTCTCATGATTGCTGTAGTGTATCTATCACGTTCCTCAAAATACACTGGGAATTATGTCATGCACCAGACATTGATGCATTATTATCACTTCATGAAGCAATCGCTTGCACCCAGGTGTGGTTTCTCTCCTTTTGTAGCTTGGACGCCATGACTGCCTGATTTAGTGGATTTCTGTTATATATAATTCATAAATGTTGTAGTGGAAACGACATCTGCTTTAGTGAACCCGGTCTTGTATCGATTATGAATCCTACTGCTTAAAATATATCTTAGTAATTTGCGAGCCACACTCTACATATCTTCAATCTTCTTCGTATTAGGCGATTATATTTAGCTTCCTAAAGTGCACCAAGCAGGGTTTCTGATGGCACCAGAAAGCATCAACTCACAATGTTGGTCTGGTCCTGGCAGCAAAGTGTTGGATGTGCTTGTGAAAGCACAAGAGTACATTGAGTTGCCAGTTCGACGCAGTGATGAAGAGCCCCTGCAAAAGTTATTCCTTGTTGTTCGAAGCGAGCTTAACCTGGATCCCAAAAACCTCAAGCAAGAACAAGCTAAATTCTGGAAAGGGCATCCTGCATTGATCAAGGTGCATACTTCAGACAGTAGTGTAGATACCTTCGAGAAGTCGACGTAGGCTGTTAATATTATTCTTTTTATTCCAGTTGCTGCCATTCATAGTCGCAAGTTTCTTATTGTGCGTGATTTCTCAATGGAGTTGTTTAATCTTGTGCAATATTCTGGTCTTTATGCATTAAACAACTCTTGACTCATACAACTAGTTGCGGTGCCAATGTGTTTCTTGATTTTGTACCTAAATATTATATTTGATTTAGTAATCATAGGAAGTTAAGTTCCGATTGGCAGTTTTCCCATTGATGTGTTTGCCCTGAATATGTGCTGTGGCAGACAGAGTTGCTACTGCTGGCCCAGCTGACCAGAGAGGCGAGCAGTGTGCCAGCTGCACTAAGAGCTGATTTTCAGCAAGTACTTCAGCTCACTCCCCGTTTGCTTGAGGAACTTATGAAGGTACTGGAGTTGCTACTGGTTTATCATTTGGTTCTAGCTTGTGTTCGTGGTTTAACTTTCCTAAACGCACTTGGTTCAATGCTTGTATTGTACCTCTGAAACTGTAAGATTCCTGGTGGGTTTGCTGCTATGATTTTATGTTGTTTAGGTGAATAGAGGAGCATAGTTGATATTTCCCTCCAATGACTTGTTTTTAGCACACATTTGATTGCGACACCTTCATGCATTTTCTTTCTTTAAACGAAATATTATTCTGGATTGCCTGAGGGATATTTATCAAAGTAATGTTCAAATCTTGGTCCTTGCAGTGCTGTAATTTTAACTAGTATTGAGCCTGGCGATGTTGGCAGATGGCAGTAGCAGCACGAAATGCTGAGGGTCATGGTTGGTTGCGACCTGCTCTTGGTGTTATGGAACTCTCTCAAAGTATCACACAGGTATTGTTAGTCGATGGTTCTGTTTATCTCCAAACTCGACTTGTTCTCTATGAGAAACGCTTTGCGCAATTAACGTTGCTGTGCTTGTTTCACCCAGTGAAACTTCTTTCAAATTGAAGCAGCACAGCAAATTAAAGCAGATTAATCTGTTTGTTTTTTTGTCGTCTCAATTTGAATTTTGAATTTTTTTTCTTTCTTGTGACAAAAACAAACATTTTTTTTTCTATTTTGAAGGCTGTTCCATTGAGTGCGAGAAAGGCATCTGGAGTATCTGCGGCAGCGACATCTGGTGATGGAGTTTCACCTTTTTTGCAACTGCCTCATTTTAGTGAAGGTGTTGTGAAGAAAATTGGTCGCAAGGTATGTCTTCATATAAATTGTAACATTGTCACGCCCAATCAAACTGTAATATGGATTTAATGAGATGGAGACTAAACTATAAAATTTGTGCAGAAAGTTCGTACCTTCCAGGAGCTGCGAGACATGAGCCCGGAGGATCGCAGGGAGCTCTTGACTACGGTAGGAGGATTTTCGGAAGATGAAGCTAAAGATGTTGAAGCGGTGCTGGAAATTATTCCTAACATCAACCTTGACGTTTTCTGTGAGACTGAAGGTGAAGAAGGTGTCCAAGCTGGTGATATAGTCACTTTGAAAGCTTGGATCACCTTGCACCGACCAAATGGTCTTGTGAATTGTCATCCACATGCCCCTCATTTCCCCTACTTCAAAGATGAGCACTACTGGTTATTGTTGGCCGACACTCAAGCAAACTCTGTGTGGGTGTCACAACGTATTACTTTCACGGATGAAGCAGCTGCTTTGTCAGCATCCGCAAAAACAATTCAAGAATCCTTGGAAGGGACTGGGGCGGATGATGCCGAAGTTTCTAAGGCAGTCCGTGAAGCAGTGGAGAAAGTGAAATCTGGTTCCCGCCTTGTCGTGGCGAAGTTTCAGGCACCAGCAGAGGGTATTTATAATTTAACAGCTTTTTGTCTCTCAGATACCTGGATTGGCGTGGACCGCAAGGTGAACGTCAAGTTCAAGGTATTGAAGAGAAGCAGAGCTGGCACACGTGTTGTTCTGCCCAGTGAAGAGAGCCCATTGTTAGAGGAAGGATCTGAAGAAGAAGATGAGGATGCCAATGCCAATGATGACTATGATGAAGACTACGAAAGTGAATACAGCGATGACGATGAAGTTGAAAAGGAGGAAGCGTCGAAGGCAAAATCGAAGAGCAGGACATCGAAGGGCAAAGCATCTTTAGACAAGAGTGATGGGGGAAGCTCGTCAGACGAGTCCGCTGAATAAATTTTCTATTTTAGGAGTGCATTAAAAGCCATTAGACTGAAGGGATGTCTTCATACTCTTTGAGTAGCTCTCAGATACTACTGGAGAGTCATTCAACAGACCACTGTCAGACGGGGTTGTGATTTTACACTCGTGAGAAATCGTGGGATGCAAGCACGGGAGGGCTGTTGGTATTTTTGCCAGTCAAGTCTCTTGGATTCATAGGCCTGAACCTACTGTGTCGATGCAGTAAAGTTGTAGGTTGCTGTTGCTCCTCTTCTCGTGTATTGCTGTGGGACCCATTATTAGGAGTTTTGTAAATGTGCAAAACTTGGTGCAGCAGACTGGCGACTGTGAGGTTTAGATACGCAGAAATGAAAAGTTGGTTGTGTTAGTGTTTTATTTTGTGACTACAAAGATCAGTTTCACGCTTATCGTTGATGATATCAGCAGCCATGGTTTTGATTTTACTTTTTCTGTACCTTGACATTCATGAAAATCTTGAGCCAAATAGTTTCATGTGAACAGTTCACTGTCTTCAAATTTTTCATCGAGTGAATGATTTTTTCCAACGCAGTGTATCACGAGCGTGCATGAAACAGAAGCGATGGTAAAAGGTTCTGTCATCCAATGACAGCTGAGCAATGCTCCAGCACTCCAACAATATTATAGATACAAGATAATGGTAAGGCCAAATTTAAAATTAAAAACAAAGACTCTCGAATTGAAACTATCATTACATATACCTGAAAGAATAATTCTATATCCAAAGTTAGATTGATCATGTATATTTTTCTATATTTAGGCTCCCAAATTTGTCTTAAGACATAATTTTATTTAGATGAGGATATTCATGTAATTTCGGAAATATATTATAACCTCAAATTTTGTTTAATGTTATGGCAAATTTTCTTAGTTGAGGCATAACTTAAATTTTGTTAAATGTTGATAAGAAAGGCTTGTAAGTTATGCCTCAACTAAGAAAAATATCATGATAATCCTACTCCTTGTGATCCACCATATCAAAATAGCTTATATTACAACTTATTAACCAATCTATAGAGAATTGTTAAAGTTACATCTCCAATTGATATTGCTACACCCATAGTGATCTCTTCATAGAACTAGCTAATAATATGACTATTTCTATTGTGTAATTTTCCTTTCTTTGCTTTAAGAAAGAGTGGTGATTGAGAGAGAGATATTAAATGTTTTATTAAAAAAATAAGTTGTGAGCTGTTTAATTAAAAATATGTATATTTGTCTAAAAATTATTTAAATTAAAATTTAGTTTATTTATTTTTTGTGTACTAAAAACCCAAAATTACTAATTATAATATTTTTAGGTTAACATTGGAATTAATTATTGGGTTTCCAAACATACTCTAAACATAAAAATATGTTTTTTAGTCAATTTAAGTCATGTGGAGGTCACATGGGGTATAGCAATATTAATTGGGGATGTAGCCTTAACTATTCTTAATGTATAACATAAACATAACACTAGCTTCTTTGGACTAGATCCTTACTATACAGAATATATGTGGTTTATTACATTATACACTAAAGACACTATTCTTTTTAAAATAGCAAAAAACATAAGATCTATTAGCAATAACTTTTTCAATTATTGAACATGTCTTAATTCTACTAATTGTATTAAGCTGCATGCAATAAAATCATCCAAATAGAATATTATGGTAATATTGATATATAACAATATTGATTATTACAATTTGGAATTTATTAAAAGAATACGTTTGTAAAACAACATACTTAGAAAACTAAGTAATTAATATGATGTTGCTTAGATAATGTATTGCTAATCAATCACAAGCTTCAAAATTATAATATTTATTACATAAAATGTACCATTGTTAAGCAAATAAATTTAAATAATTTTTGGTTAATTTGAAGGCTCCAAACTTTTAGATTTCTTTCATTAGTTGTTGTTAAGACTTAATAATAAAAAAATTAAAATTTTAAAAATTTTAAAACAGAAATAAAAAAAATTAATTTAAAAAATACAAATATTATTAGCTATTTCCAAGCTGTCATATTGGCGCCATGTAACTAGATATCATTTATTTTTTAAAATATTGTAAAGTTTGCAAAGTTGCACTCAATGATATTGCAGCTAGCAAACATTTTGGTTTATAAGTTTAAACATTGAAACAATAGATAGGAATTGATAAGTTTTTATACATGCTGATTGCATCGATATCTATTTTGTCTTCAAAATTTAGAAGAATATGTTTTGAATGTAAATATATGGCAGACAACTTGAATTAAGCATGCAAACATACATTAATATAAACCCAGCTATTTTATAAAAAAGTTATATGCACTCTTATTTATTGTTTTGTGCGTGTGATTTAATTCTTTTAATATAATTATATATCCATGCATTTTCTTACAGTAATATGTAAGCAATGAATTTGTGCTATTCTTTTTACATCCCTGTACTTCAATATTGGTTTGAAAACTGTGGTTTAAACCCAAAATATTCGGTTTACGTATACATGCTGCATGTAGTAAAACTATTCTTTATTGTAACCATATACAAAATGCAAGTACAATAGACTTCCACTACACTCTCATTCTTCGGATTCTAGGTGAATCGATCAACGTAAACTGAACCGAGGACCAGATCGGCGGCGCCACGTATGCCTCTGTGGTTGCGCATATAATGATGCTTTCAACTGCACTTGTTGCAAGTTACCACCATTGCAGTCGGCAAACCATCCCACCCTGGGATTCAGAACAGGACGATTAAGTTACTGCACTCAGCGTTTGTTAGCTCATGATGCTGGGCTCGCGCTTCAGTTACTCGCCTTGACCGCCTCCCTGGAGAAAGATCTCGCAAATGACGGCTGAGCTGCGAGTCTCTGCTTTTGTAGATATCCCATATGAAACGTTTTAGCTCCCAAATCTAGGTTGGTTCCAAGGTGGTTCATTTCGGACACGATTAAATGGAAGAGATATGCTCCGGAATCTTCTGCTCTCTCTGTGTGTGATATGTTACGAAGTTGATTAACTGAGAGCCTTAATGTGGAACCCGGCATGTGGTGCAGCATCAAAACCGAGCTATGAGTAGCAACTTCCACCGAAGCATTGTAGGGGGTGCCGCTAACCGGGGTCCACCTGTCGGGAAACCGGATTTTGCAGAAAGGTCTCGATACAGCCACCACATCTGTTGGATGCACGAATCTCACACCCACCTCGGTACGCAAGATTGTTGTGTCTGTCGATTAATACAACCAGGTTCTGGATATCGTTTGTCCGCCTGTATGTGCTCATGTCTAGCAGGATGTTCCCTTCATATAACGCGTGTGTTTTCTCTGATACGCTAACTGGGTCAACCTTCAATGGGTGCATCAGCAACGCAACAGTTTTAACCGCCGATGGAAGTCAACATGAAGGCAGGCAGGCAATCAAAGGTGCTGCCAAGGTTCGGCAAACTCTTGTGAGAGCTGGTTTTACTCGACAAGCATGTGCAACAGAAACCTCAACAAACTCTAACCAGTTGTTATAATAGGACTGAATGCTCTCAGTTGGGTTTCTGTTTTGCAAGCTTTTCAAACCAGTTGCTGTTTGAACAAGTCTTTAGGAATTCTGTTCGGTGAAACAGCTCCAAGTCTTCTTGTCCTCTCAAAATGGTAAATGTGTAACCTTGACTCCTTGTGAATTTTGAATTTTTCCTCCCATTCATACACTCTGGTCCAGTGTGGTTGTGATCCGTCTATACTGATTGAAGGTGAACTTGTAATTAGTGTGTTTGTGAAATTATTATTAGGTCATTCAAAGCTTACTAGTTGATTAGATTAGCTGCAGCTAATTTTGGATGCCCTGTTTGAATGGGTAGTTTACCAAATTAAAGATTTGAATTGATGACACTTCTTGGAATGTTTTGGAAGTATGTAATAAGAATTTCAAAGTAGTGATATTTTTTTTGAAAAAATTGAAAAATTGAAAAATGGAAATTAAATATATGAGTCTAAAGGAAAACTTAGGCAATGTTTTTTGTAAGAAGTCATTTGACAAAGAATTGTATGTATTAGAATTTGAAATATATATATCTATATATATATATTCATCCATTTTTTCCAATAAGTATTGTACATCATGATGGACATAGATCCACATCGGCAGGATTTTATCTAAGTCTAGTTTAATTAAAAGAGAATATTTACTCAGTGTTTAAGATTTATAGTCAAATTAAAAAAACAAATATGGTATGGCCAAATATTTTTTAATTAAAAAAAGTATATAAGTGGTCCATTTTGTCACTTTGTTTTCTAGTAAATTGATAGATGTTTATTGTATTGAAGACATGTAGACTACTAATAGAAAGGTCACTATTACCTTAATATAGTGACCACTACTTACATAAAATTTAAAGATTTATATTTTAATTTTTAACTCTACCTTGATGCTTCTTAATTTATTTAATAACATAAAATTTATTCATTAAAGAAAATACCAGAATATTTTTTTTTTTAAAAAACCATAAAAAAAATTATTTACAATATTGTTTGTTAGTTTTTAAAATTCTATAGTGTCTTTTAAATATAAAATTAGTCGTCAAGATATTAAAAAGATCAATGAAAATTTATTAATATTAGATTAATTTAATAAATCCCTTGCAAAATAAAAAATATATTACAATAATGTTTTTGGATTGTTGTTTTGTTGGTGGTGTAGATACTAATGACATTAGTGACCAGTTCAGTCCAAAGCATGAAAATCTTTGTCTACAAGTTATATTAATATTCAAATGCTGAGCAGCCGGCAAATCTCTACGCTAAAATTGACTACATCTAGACAATTTTTTTAAAAAAACAAAGAAAAAAGAGAAAGAAAAAAGAGAATAAGCAGGATTTTACAATCTTAAATTTTAAGAAGAATAAATAAATTTCAATTGAATAAGTGTATGCATTCTAATTCTTACAAATATATTAAATTTTAAAGTTTGTAGATTTGTTGGTAAAAATCAAGGTATTTAAAAAATACACTCTGCCATTACTAGTTATTAAAAATCTATGTTTTATTTTTAATTTTTATTACAGTTTTTTAATATTTAAACCCATCACAATTGTGCTCAAAAATATGATTGTTTCATAATGACTTTAACTTTAATACAAAAAGGAAAAGAAAATCCCCCCCAAAAAAATTGCTCGTTCAAATTTTGTCTCATAAGTTTGTATATTTTTTAAATTTTATTGATTACATCTCTCTCTCTCTCTCTCTCTCTCTCTCTCCCTCTCTCTCTGTATATATATATATATATATATTTATACCTCTTTGGTGTTCAAATAAAAAAAAATTAATACCTCTTATACTGAAATTGATGAAGTTTTGTTGAACACTGAAAATCATAATTAAAAGTGCATAAAATCCATATGACCACAACATCAAAGGTGAACGTGTATTTGTTTGTTTAGTATCATTGTGATCGAATATTTAGTAATAACTACCGGCTTCATCTTGGAAAGAAGCGGTCTAATAAAGTAAGTAAATGTACTGGACTGCGCATGGAACAGGTACAGAAAACTGACAAACGCAATAGAAATTTGTGCACACACACAAACATACGTCACACTACGTGGAATTCAATGGCGGATTTCGAACATTTGTCGAAAGCAAGAAGAAGATTGTCGGTGCTCGCATCACACAGACGACGCATCCGCCCGCGTCGAGTTCGTTTGAAGAGCCAGAGGAGAATGTGCCCCTCGCAGTGTCGGCATTTTGTGTGCGGGACCTGCAGAGACGGATGCCGCATTTAGCTAGGACCCTGAGGAGCCAGAACGCACGCTGCGAACGAATCGGGTGGCACTGAAACCAGGTGCGGGTTGCGGATGCTAGCATCAGTTTAGGGTTATAGAATAGCTCGTGTGCGGCCTTACTACTGCGTATTTCTGTTGGTTCTTAGGGAGAAATTGTAAGGCAGCTCTTGTGAGCTTGTACTCTGAGAAGTGGAGAGAGGAGAAGTGGATAAGTGCTTTCGGTGTTTTTGTTTTGTCCGATTTCATCTCGTTGACGGAGGATGGAATGCGTGCGCTCGGTGGTGGTTGAGTGAGTTATATCTTGTTAGGATTCGTTTTTCGTAGTGTTCCTGTTGCTGTGTGGTATAGATACCGGATACTGTGTCGGGGAATAATTTGAGGAATCCTCGACATTCGTGATGAGAGTGTGAATTCAGAACTCGAGTCTGTCCCTCCTCAGAGACCTTGCAGTGAAGAAGTTCGTAATTGATTTTATCATCCTTGTTTTACTTTTCCAATGACCGAATGACTAGTTTGGCTTTGTTCTGTTTTTGGCGAATACTGTTCACCCTCGCAATTCAACTCCTATTCATGTAATTTTTCTTCTTAGTTCTTCCTGGTTCTGGACATCGTAGCTGGTATTGCAAGTGTGCTAGCTCATGCAGTAGTTTTAGAGTTATGTTTAATGTGTGGATTATCTGCGGTATGATGAGCGGATAGATATCAACTATATCCTACAATTAAGTTTTTCTGGTTTGCTGCTAATTTCTTTTGGCAAACCATCTGATCAATTTTTGGATCCACGTGATTGAACTATGTATCCATTGCTGGTTGACATCAAGATACTTTCTTCATCCAGCTCTATGCACAAATTAGGATAGAACATGTATCTCAAGCTTTTACACGCCACTTTGATTTTGTGTAGCATTTTTTTTTTGTTTACTACAGTCTCCCATCTTGAGGACTTGGTTGTTGGCGTTTATGTGAGATAAATCTTAGCCATCGGGATAATTGAGTCACCAAAGTGCCCCTGGTTTTCTGGTGTGGTTTCCTTTCATACGTCGAGAATTGTTTTTTTGGATTCTAGACAGTACCTCATCCGAATTGTGTGCACACGTAACTGATCTATGTGCGGTCTCAGCAAGTTGTGGTAGCACCCGACGTGAGTAATGGCAGCAGCAAGATTTTGCATATCGAGGTTAAGAGCAGGAGCTGGACCGGCATTATCAAGGTTTGGTGAAAAGAGTCTCAGAACAGCCGGGAGGAGTCAACGTGGATGGACAGGAGGAGCGTTTACAGCTGGTTTTGCGATTGCCGCGGCTCACTCCGGTGTTAGGGCAGCAGCAGCTGCTCCAGCCTCTGCGGATTCCCTAGTAACTTCCGACCAAAAGTATGTCTATCTTCTCTTACAGATTGTTAAACATGTATCAAGTTAATGCAGTCGTGTGTTGGATTTAAATTTATGAGGATGGATATCGTGCTTAGGAGCAATTCTTTTTTCCTCTGGATTAATTCAATTATCTGAATGTTTCCCTTAATTATCGTACTATGATCCTGTGCTGATTTTTCATCGGTACAGATCGGGCATTCCACAAGATAATGTTCATGTTGGTGGCCACAAGCCTGGGGATTGGTTCAAAGTTCCTGAATTGTCACTACGAGATCACTATTTTATTGTACCTCTGGATCATGATAAACCTAACGGTTCTTCCATCACGGTGTTCGCTCGAGAAGTCGTTGGAGGTATACATCCTTGATAACCATAGTTTATGCTTCGTAGCCCTGAGGTGAACATCCCATATAGCTATAACCATAGCTTTCTTTTTTGTGTTAGATGTATCCATGGCATGTCGTATGCATCTTGTCTGTATTTGAACTGTTATTTGGTGTCTTTTTTAACAGTTTCTTTCTGTGGATTGCAGTTGGCAAAGAAGACAAGCTGTTGCCCTATTTACTATTTCTACAAGGAGGACCAGGCTTTGAATGTGCTCGCCCCACAGAGGCGGGTGGTTGGGTGAAGAAAGCTTGCGAGGAGTATCGTGTTGTCCTTCTGGACCAGGCACTGACAAGACTTTCTCCTACTTTGGTTGCTAAGTTTCTAATTTAATCATGAAGTAGTGATCCTAAAACAACTCGTACCTACGAAACTGTGTACAGTAACTAAAACACTTTCACTTGAAATGCACCCCCTACACCAACATACAAACTGAACATTTTTTGTTACAGCAATTTGTTTATCAATGTATGTGGAGTGCTGCTCTTTATGTATGAACTAGTCTGAATATGTTGTTAACTTTAAGATGCATGAATCTTACAACGTTATGCAAAGATGGTGCACCAATTTCGAAATCGATTTGAATTTGATGGATCACTGTTCAGTAATTATCTGTTTGCTTCAGCAACCTATTTCTTTAATTGAAAAGTCTGTAAATCTTCGATCTTTACGGGTGGAAATTTTCACAACTAATTATTTTATTATTGTACAGCGGGGGACAGGTCTCTCATCACCCCTGACTACAACTTCTCTCGCTCAGTTTGAATCACCAAAGCAACAAGCTGCTTTTCTTCGGAATTTCCGTGCTGATAGTATTGTCAAAGATGCTGAAATAGTCCGAAGCTATCTAATTCCAGGCGGCGAGCCTTGGTCTGTTCTTGGGCAGGTTAGAAATTGACCTTGTTAGAAATTGCCTCTTTTTCTGTAGTCTTAATCCGCTTTGTTTCGTTTCGTTTCGTTTCGTGTTCGTTTTTGGTTTTCGCAGTCTCCATCTGTGTGAATTGGTTCTTCAGCTTGTCATCCATGAGCTTGGATGCATCAGAATGTGATTGTGTACACTAAATAGAAAGTTCTGATGCAATGCGGCGTGGGACCTTTTCAGAGTTATGGAGGCTTTTGTGCCGTGACCTACTTGAGCATGGCGCCTCATGGTCTACACCATGTGTTACTTACAGGTGGGCTGCCGCCTATAGATGATGGGTGTACAGCAGAGACAGTATACCGTGCATGCTACAAGAGAGTGGCAATCCAGAATGCGAAGTTTTACAAGCGGTTCCCTGGAGATGCAGAGGTTGTGAGATCAGTTGTTCTTCATCTGGCGCAGTGTGAGGGAGGAGGGGTGAGTGTATTGCGATCTTCGCTCTGGTTCTTGAATGTCAATCCTGGGACATTTTTGGATACGATAACGTAGGTCTTCTGCTTGGTATTTACTTGCCCTGCTAGCTTACAGGATGAATGAGGTAAATGCTAATATTTCCTAACTTCTACAGAAAGAACGAAGTTTCAACAAACAAATTTGAGTCAAGAACATATGTTATTAGAAAAGAAACACATGAAGAGTAGGCATGCCTATTTTAGCAAGTGAAGTCCTTTGCCTGCAAATCTTCTATGAATCTTGGCCTCAGCTTTTTCTTTTCTGCAGGTACCATTGCCTTCTGGAGGATTCTTGACCCCTCGTGGGCTTCAGCTCCTTGGGTTGTCAGGGTTGGGTTCATCTGGAGGCCTTGAACGCCTACATTATCTGTAAGTCATGTTCGCTCTTCACTTTGAAGTATGTAGAGGCATTTTCACCCAATAATCTTCCCTCATCTATATGCTAGACCAGGTCTTTCCGCGCTAATTGTATCTGTTGTAAGTTTCTGCTAGATTTCTGATTGGATATGCCATCATTCTTTAAGGTAACTTCAGGAACAACATGCCCTTAGGATAGCTTATCATAGAAGTAATAAACTACAAAGTATATTAAGTGCACAAAGTACAGCAACCCTCTCCAATGAGGAATGCTTCTTAGAGTTTGTGAAAAATTGGAATTGTCTGTTGACGTTTGTCTCTGTTTGCAGCTTTGAACGTGCATGGGATCCAATTCTTGTCCCTGGAGCAAAGAAATCACTTAGCTACAACTTCCTTCGTGCTGTATGTTTTCATCCTTGAGCAAAAAGCGTACTCGGACACTATTTTTTGGCTCAAGCTACTGAGACTTGCTCAAGTGAACTTCTTCTAATTTTACAGCTTCCAGATTTTACACATTTGAATGGCGCTATCCTGCTTGGTTGTTAACTGTGTATCAAGCAGATTTGAGCATGTAGGATTGATGACTAGCCATGAAATGGTGCAGGTTGACGATTGGTTTGACTTCGATACAAACCCACTGTACGCGATTATGCACGAGTCTATTTATTGCCAGGTATGTTGGCCCACTTTTTATTGTTTTGTTGTTGTCTGTATATCGGTCCTTTACGTGGTACTTCACTATCTCTCTTTTGCTATATTTAGAGGCTGAAGAAGAATATGCAGCTATTGAAGGACCGATATATTTAGACATGCTGTATAATTTTCGGCATTCCGCAGGATTGATGTAGAATGATCTTTCATGCAGCTTTAGGTGGTTGTTATGACAATCACAGTTAGTTTGCAGCGTGAGATTGCAAGCGGGGTAGTTTATGTTTACAAATGAAGCTTCTCATATTTTTTTACTCTGCATCAAAAATGTTCGTCAATGTCTCGAGATCTGATGCCTTCTTACACTTGATTTTTCAAAGGGTGCTGCTTCCAATTGGGCTGCACACCGTGTTCGTGAGGAATTGGGAGACCAGTTCGATGCTGTGAAGGCTGCATCAAACAGTACGCAAGTCCTCTTTACTGGGGAGGTAAGTCCAGGACGCTGGCATCACTTGAATTATGCATACGTTGCACAAGCTTGTTCAGGATCCGACAAGCTCCGCAAAGATGGTTTCTTTACAGAAATTTCCTACGGATCTTTCTGACTATTGCACTCCTCTTTAACTTGACCAGATGGTCTTCCCATGGATGTTCGATGAATTGGCAGCCTTGCGTCCATTGAAAGAAGCTGCTAACATCATAGCTGAAGCGTCCGATTGGCCTCCTTTGTACAACAAGAAGCAATTGAACGAGAACAAGGTTAGTCAGTAGATAATGACGGTTTCATAACAGAAACCCTGTGAGTTTTGTTCTTTGTGTCGTTCTAATTATTTTCAAAATTGTTAATCTTCATATTTATGTTTCTATCTAGCGTTCTAACATTAAGCTCCTATGCCATGTGTTCAGGTACCCGTTGCCGCAGCTGTTTATTACGAAGACTTGTATGTGAACGTTACCCTTTCGGAAGAAACTGCAGCCCAGATTCAAGATATCAGGCTTTGGGTGACGAACGAGTACCTCCACTCTGGAATCCGCGAGGACGGTCCCCGGATTTTGGATCAGTTGTTTGGCATGCTCAAGGGCAAGTATCCCATTCGTTAGTTACAACGTACATAAGCACTCCAAGTGCAGATATAAATTGTCTCGTCAGCTATGAGAAGCTTTTTTGTGTTCTGTAGTTTGATTCACATTCCAGTACAAATACTTGTGCGAACAAATTTCATGCTGAATGTTGACCGTCAGCAATTTGTGAATCATTTCCTTCTCTATCTGCATTCCGATCTATTACTATATACAAATATGCAACACCACATGAACAAGAATTGCCATTTTTTTGCAAACTTGTGAGCCAAAACTCATAATCATTGTTGAGCATCGAATCTTCATCCGTTACTACTTTTATATACTTGCGGTTCCATATCGTTATTTCATTATTATTATTATTATTATTGTTACGGTTGTCGTGGGATTGATTTTCTCAGGAACCCCTGCTCTAAAGCCACGTAACCTGGTCAGGCCCAGTCAGCAGGATGTGATCAAAGATTCCAGCCCATCATCAATTGAACGAGGGCGACAACCAATGGTGAACAATTATCTAATCAACTTTGAATATCCCCCCTTTTACAAACGACGCCCCTTCTTTACATGAAGTGCAAATGTATGTAATCGTTTTTGTTATGGATCCCAACATGTATTCCGCATCTCCCAGGGGACTTTCTACTCAAAACTGTTGACCCCAAACTGGAAACTTACTCCCCCCGCATTCATTCTATGGGTTGTGCTTAATCAGCACTCCCTCCTCCGTATCCACGTCAGCGTTCCTAATCGAGATACCCTGCCACGCTGTCACGAGTCTCGAGACGCTCTCTCAGTGCCAAACACACACCCAAACTACACGTGTACGGGTGTGAATACGTATCTACGACGAGGGAGGAGAATTCATCTATGGAATCATCCGTCGAAGTCAAATTCATTCATCCTCATGTACTTCAGTGGGTTCTCCGCCCATGAGCCCGGCAATACAAAGGAGCAAATTCCCATTTCATCGTCTCGCACTTCCCCATACCTCTCTATCCATCTCCCCACTTCCCACACGCCGATCGCACCGAAAATTATCCACCATGGCCACCGCCGCACGCTCCATCGCCTTCCCTCCCCCTCTGGCTTTCGTTTGCGATCCGCAGAGCTCAAAATGGTCCAGTATTTGGAGCTCTAGCTCGGTTCAGGCCATGATGCCGAAGAAGGGGCTGCTGCAGACGCTGAGGTTGAGGGCGAAGGGAGTTGGCTGCGTTCGAGCCGGGGAGCGAGTAGATGTGGACGTGAAGAAGGCCGGAGTGAAGGGGGATGTCCTGCCGTCTGGCGAGTGGGCAGAGAATTTTTCCTTGTTAAACTATGAGGATTTGTCCAAGTACTACGAAGATGTTCTGTTCAAGCCCGAGGTTCGTCGTCTTTGGGGGGGGGGGGGGGGGGGGGGTTACCTAATCCTGTTTGGAAAATCGGGGACTTAATAATGTGTTGCCCTTTTGTGTATCATGTTTTTGGGCGCGCCTCTGAATGTTAAGAAGTGTTGTGTATTTGTTTGATCCCTTCAGGGTGCTGTAGGTGGTGGTGATCGGGTTAATTTGGGGGTTAATTGTGCTTGGTGCTGGTCTTTGTTTCTTCTTGACGATTCATGCGTGGCTTTGTTGTGTCTTTCGTTTCGGTGTCTGCCTGTGCGATGGTTATGTTCTGTAATCATCTCTAGGCAGAGTTTCTTGTTGTGCATGTCCTATGATGCACATTGTTGGTGCAGGCTTGTGGAATTGTTACGTATTCCTGCCTATCGTGGCATTCTGGTGAAGCGTCACATTTTTTGTCAGTGTAATGCGGCTTTAACCTGGAGCTCTTCGTGGCTATAAACTTCACTGCTGTTAAATTCCTTTTAATAGTATTAAACTGTCTTGGCTTCAGGCGCAGCCGTCCACACACCTGGCGGATGTGATGTCGAAGACCATCTTTACAGCGTCTCCAGAGCAAGCTCTCGAAGAGATCGACCACTATTTTGCTGATATTACAGGTGTTCCAGTCGTCGACTCTGATCACCGATGTGTTGGAGTCCTTTCGAAGAAGGACCGAACGAAAGCATCTAGTGTAAGCGTTCTATTCTTCATCTATGACTTATTTAGTCGCTTTCTCAGATAGTTTGTATCATAGTGCGGTGCTTCATCTTCCTTCGTGGTCTTAGAAGCAAATTGTTCTTTACAATTAACTAAATTACTTTTCCTTTTTTCTCTTTTGAATATGTCTTCATGTGGGCAACAGTTGAAGGCTAAAGTAAAAGAGGTCATGAGCTCCCCTGCAATCACTTTGCCTGCTGATAAGATCGTTTCTGGTGAGTCGATTCAACCACTGAAAAGGCTCTCCAGCTCTTTTATTAACCTATCATTGCGAGTGTTCATTCTCATAGGCAAAGTTCAAGTCATTTTTGGAACATTCCTCACGTTTTGTTGTCGAAACTTCTGCCAAATGGATTCTTCTATTTGCATTGACGTACTTCTGGGTCTGACTTATATAGGCACATGTACATTTACAGTAGTGAGATGTTCCTAAATTATGTAGCACTCATAGCTGTGCGTGGTCGTTGTAGACGCTGCAGTTTTGATGCTGAAGAACAAGATTCATCGTATTCCTATTGTGAATGACTCCAACCAAGTTGTTGGTGGGTTTTAGCTTAAACCACGGAAAAACCTTTCATTTGCTTTGGTGGTTGCTTCTTGCTGCATTGAAGATGGTTGCTCCGTTGAGTGTTTTGCGAGTTTCAAGGGGTGGTGGCATCCTAGCTCTTGAAACTACAATGAGATACATTTTCGTGAAAAAGTGAAACGCTATATTCCATTTTATCCTCAAAACTTATGTGCTGCCTCTGTTCAGGTATTGTGACAAGAACTGATATATTCAGTGCATTGGAAGGAGGCAGTGACAAGAAGTAGGCTATGCGATGCCGCTGTGTGTAGAAGTGGTGTGAATGTCATTATATGTTGTTATGGACGATGCCTGCATTTAATCATCCATGTGAGTGTTACCTGCCCGATCTGCAAGGATGCATATTCGGCAACCTTATCTAGCTGGTTGAGAACAGAATCGTAGGGAACGTAATCAAACAAAATCTGTCGAATTTGCTGCAAGATAAAGTGATTCCCTCACTGCAGTGTTAGATCTGGTAGGTTCCAAGTCTGCAATGGGTAAATACGAGAGGTAAGGAATGAAACCTTGCTAAATCCTACTTACTGAAGTCCCTAGGGAGGATCGGTAAGGGTTTCTGGACGTAAAAGAACTTGTTTTATACGACTTTTAGATGACTTGTCTAGACCAGGCTGAACCTGGTATGCTTGTTTAGATGCTTTGGTTCTGAAACATTAACGTGACATTGAAACCCGTGGTCTCGTAAATTGGAAAGATGCAGACTGTTACACTCCATTGCACAAAAGCTCCTTCGTGAAGAATGTACTCAACTCGCATTGCAGTGGTGCCCTCACAGTTCAGTCTTTCACAGTAAAAACAGGAAGAAAACAAATAACCCCAGTAGCTATGCTCAAAGACTTGTGCATTAAAATAACTGTTGCTTCGTTATGCATTTGTGCCTGATGACATTACAAATCATACGAACAATCCGAGCCATACAGACACTATGTGCTTAGCTGCAGCAGAACCTGCTTTGGATGGAGACGAATGAGGTGAACTTGTAGTTCGAACTTACGTTCCTGCTAAGCTCACATTACTGTCCTTTCGATCCACTATGCACAACTCTATCTGCCTTACAGAAATCTGCATGAATGAAAGCTTCAGTATTAGTTACACCTATTAGATCTATGACAATGTACTAACGGTCTATTTTGACATATTAAAGATGGGCATAGCATCATGCATTCATGTTTCATGACGAAGCGATTCTTTTTACACGGTTTTATGAACATTTGTTTTACATGGTTGCTCGCTTTGAAAGGTCATGGTTCAAGACATTGATTTTGTAGGGTCCTCACTTGGTAAAGAATAGTTATTTTTTGAATGATTTGATTTTGGATATGGTTTAAAGTGAAATGAGACTACGGAGTGAATCCATCTATTTTTTATTGTAAAATTAAATGTGTCAATTCAAATCTTGATTGTAACAATAATAACATACATGTTTATTTAACTTAAAATTTTATTTGTAGTATTTTTTGATACTTCTTTTCAAAATTTTATAAAGAAATTTTTAAAAATTACTTGTGCAAGTGGGTCTTGCATAACTAAATTCAAAACTCAGCATCATTCATGCCATGTATCTCCCAAACAATGATACTTGATTAATACATTAAATATTGTAAAACCTCCCAAACAATGATACTTGCTTAATACATTAAATACTAGACTTTATGAGTAATAATTGCAATTTAGGACAAAAATAGTTCGAAATGTGATGTCTTTCACCAGCAAAATAAATGGTGCATGATATCAGAACTAGCCAAAGATATAAACTTATTAAAAAAATTACCAAAGACCATGGTCTAGTTTCGACCAAAAAGCGTGGAAAACTACGAATCCATCGACGTGCTCAGTGGATCCTTCAAAATTGCAAAGCTTATTCAACTTTGTCATGTGATTCTTAGGTTTAGAAGAACCCTCCAGATCATGGTTGGGGTCTAATACGACAGTGGTCCAGACTGCAACGAGAGCGTCAGACGGAAAATAATGCTCTGCTCCACACACTCCACACACACACTTCGCAGAGTTACCCACAGGCTGCTTCAAATGATCAAATGGGTGCCCTACAGAAGCACTTGCATCAAATTCTAAGATTCAGATCACGTTCTTCATTCGATTGATTGAGAGACGTCTTTGGTCAACTGAAGACAAAAAACCAAAAAAACAAAAAAAACAACCCACGAGACGAGGTTCGCCCAACAGCATAACCAACCCCTCATCCGGATAACCACGAATTTCGACACGAGCTGAAGGAACCTCCGACACATCTGTTGTAAATATCGACAGATGAAACCCTAATAATATATCACACCACTCCATTGGCAAATGTTGATTGGTAATTCAAATTGGCCTGCTTGCCAGATCAAGCCTTGTAGTTGAAACAAAGAGTAAAATAACTATCAAACATCGCAAAACACAAAAATGTTGAGATGATCAAAAAATTGTGAAGATGCACAACACAGCCACAAAATCTCTACTCTCATGCATATTGACTGACGATGTGGAGACTTGCATTGGGAATAGGGTTACATAAAATTGGTCGTGCATAAATATTAAACATTTGAAGGTTTACATTCACATTTTGCAATAATTGGATTTGAGATTTATTAATGCTCAAGGCAAATGTAGTTTTTATTATAAATTATAAATGTAGTTTTGGAATTTCAAAGCTTTTTTGGTTGAAGATGGAAAGAATGATATTGTTAGAAGAAAAGTCAATTCTCTTGTGGTATTCTATTAATAATAATACTTTTGGTAGGACAATCTTCATGACTTGGAACAACCAACTAAGAAACATTGCATAGGTTTTGGTATAATGTATAATTCAACTTTTTTTCCAACTTTCATTCTAACTTTAATTGAGGAGTTTTATATGACTTTAATAATTCAAGATATTTTTTGAATTTTCATTCTATGTAGTTGTGTTTTATTTTCTAAGAAAAACACACAAATCTCTAAGAAATGTAAAGAAAGCCTAATTATTGTTAATACCAAATTTGTTTTTTTTTCCTAATAAAATTCATCAATATCCATCTATATATCTATTTTTCTTCAATTTAAAATAAAAAATAAATATTTTTAATTAAATCTTCTAAAGTTAGATTTACTTTTGTATGACTTGATAAAATAATTATATATTTTTAATAGATCAATTATGCTTGAACCACCTCAATTTTTTATTATTAAAATCAATGTTTAAAATGATCAACAACTTAAGATTTAAACAAAATTAATCTATGTTTCAAGATTAGTTTTTAAAAAAAAAAAAAAAAAAAAAAAAAATCTCTTGATTTTTTTTTTTTTTTTTTGTGCACACATAGAAAGCAATTACATACATTGATGTTTTAACTAAAGTTTAGATGTCCAACAAATATACCAATAATATGTTTTTATTTTCTTTATATAACTACAAAATAGAATTTGTTTGAAAAGTTTACCAAAAACTACAGTAATTCTATCCAATAATATATATATATATATATATATATATATATACACAAGTATCATATCACAACTATTGAACAATGAAAGTATTGTTAAGAATAACCCTTTGTAAAAACATTTTGCTCAAAAATAAATTTAATAGTACTGATTCCATGTGGTTGGAAATAAATTCTCAAAACCAACACAGTCAATTTTAGCTAAAATGTAGAATAAAATGAAATGTTAACTACATGTACACAAGTAATTATGCTGATACTATCTTTTTATAGCATAGAAAATAACATTAAACTATTAAAGTTCATGTGTGAAATTCACTATTTAGAATTAAATTGCACTTATAACAAAATAATATGGTATATCTTTCTTTTGAAAATTGTATCTTCTAAAAGTTAAGACTATCGGTACATTTATGCCCGAAACACAAAGTATTATGATTAATTTTGATGATCTCACCCTTTGGAATGAATAAAGGAGAAAACAATAAATTTAAAATTAACAAAGTGAACCATCTTCGCAGTGTGAAACGACTTCCCAATCTAGTGGTGTGAAACCTCCACTCGAGGCCTTAAATAAGCTATACAAGAATAATAATAATAATAATAATAATAAAAACCCCGTTCACACCGCGAATGATAACAGTAGTGAGAATTAACCTTTCGGTCGAAGGGGCAACCCTAGAGGCATCCTAGGTTTCGAAATGGGCAAAATTTATCGGGCAAGGGCAACTGACCTAAAAAATAATACAAAAATAACAATATATAACAAGACCTTGGGGGAATGTTTGAAGTTTTTGTCTGCCCGCTACCCTCTGCCCGAGACCGAAGGCAACTGTTCACAGTGGACTTGAGCCGTTGGGAGAGCTGCGAGGTTGTCATCGATCGTGCATCAATTGCTTGCTGGACTCTTCGGCACAGCCTTGAATTCTCGATTGCGTGCATTCGCCGTAGAAGAGACCGCTCCGAAATACGATCAGGTGGCAGTTTACCTCGAGAGAATTGGTGGTCTGGTGAGTTTTTTCAGGCTTTGTGAGGTTTTTTTGTGGGGGGGCTTTCATGGATCGGTGACTGACAGGGAGTTCCGTGGCGTTGTCGTCGTGGTTTTGCTGCAATTGGGTGAGGTCTTGAACTCGGTGGTGATGTTTGTGGTGTGCGACAGTTTGTTGATGAAGGAGGTGTGGTGGGTTCGGAATTCCGAGGCACATCGGTGCGTTGGTGAGTGTTGTTGTTATGGTGTGTTTCTTTTTTCTTTTTTCTTATTGTTATTTTTGTTGAGGAGGGATGATCGCGAGTCGATTGATTATGGGTCAGTTGCCATTTTCGGTGTAGTTCGTGGCTGTGTGAGGAATTGGAGGTGGACAGTTTCAGTGATCGACTTCGCTGCACATTGCGGACGATGAGTTGGCTACAGATTTATGTCTTCCTGATGCACTTGAACTGTGGAGATTGGTCTACGTCATCTGAGTGTATAAATTTCAGCTTAGTAGTGACTTGTAGGAGTGGCGTGACTGCTGGAAGCTGAACTTGAACTCGCGGGAACTCGTCAGTAATGACCTGATTCTCTATAGTTTGTGCAGTGTCAGTATGAAAGAATGTACATGTTCAGGAGTTTCAAACTGGTATTATTTCTTCTACGGTCTCTGTGCGTGGGTTGTGTTTTATTTGTTTTTTCCCGATCTTGTTTAGTCGTGTTCAATAACGCACAAACAAACCCACCGATGAATGTGGAATCATTCTGTTCATTTGAATTTTGAAATCACTGAACGATTCGGGACAGTCTATGTTCGATTGATCATGGCATTGAATTCCTTCCAGCGGGTCCTATCAATTTGGTGAATTTTTTTGTGAGTCTTCACGTGTGAAAGAGTGGGTTCGCTATGGGGAATGTGGCCGTTTCCTTAGACCGTCGGAAATGAAAAAGCATGTGAAGAATATTTTTTGTAAATTTACCTGTCTAACGGTCTTCAAATCCTAATTTGGTTTTCTTTGTTGAAAATTGTTACTTTCGAAAAACATAGAAGCCTACCCTCTGCAGAAGAACATCTTCCAGTAGTGTTTTTTGTTGAATTCTGACAGTCTGGTTTTGTGCATTGCGGAGTCTTCCTGTCTGTCATTGTTGGAGTGCTTGATTTCCACGTAGAACTATGAGATCTTGGGTGCATTGTGGACTATCAGAATGTAATGGGAATTTCTAGTGACACACTACAATCAAATGACAGGACCACTTCGGTTCTAGGACAGCAAATGGTTAATGCATTTCCATCTCGAAATTTGACTTATCTCTATGCTTGATAATGTCCACAGACCTCCTCTGTGGAGAAGAAAACACATCAACAAGGAGGAGGAAGTTAGCCTAAGCTAGCCTGTATAGACCAAAGTCCATCGTCATGGATTCATTTACGTTATCCAGCATGGTCTCTACAAGCAGCTCTGACTTTGTGCGGTGCTACATCGGCGGCTCCTCGGTCCAACCTGTTGCTCATTTGCAGAGTGTGTTTTCTCGTGTCAGCACCCACAATGCGCGGGTTGCATCGACCAAAATATTTCTCAAAACATCAGTTTCTTCAAGCAGCTTGAGCTCCTGCCCTTTTTTTAGTGGTCTGTCGTTGCGTCTAGCACCTATTACTAAGAAAGGAGAACTTGTAAAAAAGTCACCCGTTTTGCGAATCGCTGCACAAGCCTCTGGTGCAGACTCGTCAGATGCTCATTCCGACGAAACTCCGAAGGTTGATACAGCTGCGGTGGCCAAGTCTGATGCAGCGCACAGATTGAAAATTGGGACCTATTTTGCCGTCTGGTGGGGTTTAAACGTTGTGTTTAATATCTATAACAAGAAGGTGTTGAACGCGTATCCTATGCCTTGGTTGACATCCACACTGTCACTGGCAGCTGGTTCTGCGATAATGCTTATTTCGTGGGCTCTAAAGATTGTGGATCCACCTGAGGTGGATGCAGACTTCTGGAAGAGCCTTGCCCCGGTATGCGCTAGGGTGTCAAACTCCTTTGTTGCATCTGTTTTTGATTGTTCCTGTATGTGCATTTCTGCAATTGGTTCGAGTAATGAGCTGTCAGCGCATGACAATACTTGTTGACATAATTGAGGTGACGACAGTCAGGAAAGGTTTCTGTTTTAATTATTTTTTCTAGATTAAAAATTTGGAGATATGTCTATGAGCTTGGTTGAATGTATTACTGAATCGGTGCACTATGCAGGTAGCGCTAGCACATACAATTGGTCATGTGGCAGCGACAGTGAGCATGTCGAAGGTTGCAGTATCTTTCACACACATCATCAAAAGTTCTGAACCTGCATTTAGTGTAATCATCCAGAAACTGGTCTTCGGAGAGAATTTTCCTCTGCCAGTATATCTCTCTCTCCTGCCAATTATAGGTGGATGTGGCTTAGCTGCCGCGACAGAGTTGAATTTTAACATGACAGGTTTCCTCTCTTGCTTAGATCTTGTTTCATTCCGTGCTTTAATATGCTGCTGTGGCTGCTTCACGGATCAATTCTTTAGGTTGCAAATATATGGGATACCTTCTGGAGAGTAATCGCTGGTTTATATTTTTGCCGGTTGACAGGATTTGCAGGGGCTATGATCTCCAACATTGCCTTCGTATTCCGTAACATTTTCTCAAAGAAGGGAATGTCCAAGGGCAAGAATGTTGGGGGGATGAACTACTACGCATGCCTCAGCATGATGTCGCTCGTATTCTTGACGCCTTTTGCTTTTGCTGTGGAGGGCCCCAAGGCTTGGACAACTGGTTGGCAGGCAGCGCGACTTGCCCATGGCAACCAAATTTTATGGTGAAGTCATCGTTCCACCTTTTGAAATCTCCTCCTTGGGAAGTCGAAAACCTTCTTCTATATCAACTGATGTATGTTTGATGCGACAGATATTGAAGAGTCATTTTTGCAGTTCCTTAAAGATGTAACGTTCACTGAAGATCAGATAGATGTTTCATGTTTTCTGTAGATATGTCAGCATTGTTGCGAGGGCATCCTGCTGATGTTTTACTTGAGCTGACGATTGTTGATATGCAGGTGGGTCGTGGCACAGAGTGTGTTTTATCACTTGTACAATCAAGTGTCTTACATGTCATTGAACGAGATTTCTCCTCTCACATTTAGCATCGGTAATACCATGAAGCGTGTCACTGTTATTGTATCCTCGATCATCATCTTTCACACAAAAGTCTTGCCCATCAATGCCTTGGGTGCTGCCATTGCAATTTTCGGAACCTTCTTGTACTCTCAGGTAAACACTCGAGTCCAGACATCACTTGTTCAGAATGACGCTCAAATACGATTGCATAACGTTTTTTTCTTTTTACAAGAAGTTCTGAAGCCGTAATTTCAAGAGCATCACAGAAATATTGGCCTAGTTCATGGACGGCTCTGCCAACTCAGTAGGCAGAATGTGTTCAAATTTTTAAACGTCTCTTTACCCCTCTGGTTTTCAATTAAGATTTTCGACGTGATGGACCTGAAATCTTCTCAGTGGATTTAGACTGCTCAAAGCTTATGCAATCGTTTGATGCTTGGCTTTCTGAAGCTTGGTGAATGATCGTTCGTCACATGCTTTTCTGTTTCTTTCATTTTGCAGGTTAAGCAGTAAAATTTACACGCGCAAAAAACTTGCATATTTGCAAGAACCTCTCTTAGTGCTTCGCTCTGAGTTCACAGATGAAGAATTTTGTTCCAGGGCATCGTCCTAATGACGAGGACATATTCTGTGAAGATAGATTTAATAAGATTGAGAACATGTTGAGGTAATGGATATCTGCCCGTGAACTTCTGTGTCACCGTCGTAGCCAGCAGCAGCATTGTACTGTAGAACTCCACTCTTCCTCTTCAATTATGCGCATTAACTCCATTAAGCTGTAAGTTCCGTAACCATTCGCATACTAACAGAAAGCACAGTTCTATGCTATACTCCCAGCGCTTCGCTGGGCTTTTTGGAGTTCGAGAGGCGCGGAGGATGTGGACCTTGTTAAGTTGCCGACAAGAAATTCAGCTCTGCAGCTGCTGGTTCTTGAGCAACACATTTGATCAAGAGTTGGGTTACAGAATACAGAAAGATTAGAATTAGTTTCTTTGGTATGTTTGAGGAAACGTGCTTCGGTTTTTGTGTCATGGTCTTCCATCCTAATATCAGGACGGCAGCTTGCAGCTCCGAGAGCTCGGCAACCTGTTAAGGATTGTAATTGTGTTTTAATGTTCAATTTGCAGAACTTTCTTGTTTGCCTAGTTCCAACCGGACAATACTGTTATTGTATCTCTTTTGAAGAAACTTTAAAATCGGACGCTCTCAAAGTACTCTTCACACCTAGATCGTATTATGAACTGATGCTTGAGTACACAAGTTTGAAGGCAAGAGCTGGTTTCCTGTAGGCATCTCGTTTGCATTTTGAACCAGCCTTCTATTGAGTTATCAATGTCATACAATCTGAAACTCACACCGCGGCAAAGGTTCACCGAAGCTGATGACAAAGTTGTAGGAAGTACGGTACAGATATTGTTATCTGACATTGCTCTATCAAAGCAAGGAACTCATTTGGTAGGGATGGGACAATTTTTAAGGCATGCATGATGCCCCTCAATCTTAAATTTGCACTGCTGATTGAGCTGATTTTGCATCAAGCACCGGTAATAATTCAATGAGAGAAGGGTACCCTGCAATAGGAGGCACATTTCACTGTCATCTGAACAGGACTGGAGCTCTCTGCACGCAGATGGCATGTCTTGCGGAAAATTTGTCGATATTTACATAGAATAAGTCCTCGAAATTGAGTTCAGGAACGCAGGGCTTGTGTTGTGTTTGTCAGATGAATCTGAATCTAGATGAAAGGGGTTAATTTCCATGGCGCGTGATCAAACACCATACGATGGAACTGAAAGTCTGGTGGCTCCACACTACCACATGGACGCATTCGCAAGCCTACTCCATGGCCGTGAAATCCTCTGTCACGCAATACGAAGCCCAGGAGGGCAACCATATTCGAAGAATCCTGCGTAGACGTCATCCATTTCCTTCCAGGAAGTTTGCATTAACACACTATGAGCTAATTTACAGAAGCTACTTTCAGGCACGCTTCTCGAAGTTAGCAGAGCATTACAGTTATGGGGGAGGAGGAATTGGCATAGATTCTGGCTTGACTCGAGGACCCACGGAGACAAATTCCTCCAGGCGTAAATGGAACTTACTCCTCACCCACCCTTCGGTGCGCAGGTGAAACCCTAAACTTGGGTTGCTCCCTCGGAGCAGAGCCGTGAAGAAATCGAGCAGTTCGGCATCCATCGCGCTGACCGTTTGTGGGAGCCAAGCGACAATCCGGAGCCCCATCGGACTGGGTCCGAGCTCTGTTTTTTTTTTTTTTTTTCTCTTCTTCTTTTTCCCGTGTCTTTCACCCCCCACACACCTCGGCCTACTTCAAGTACTCCAGGCATCTTCTTCGTCTTCCCCCTTCTCGCTGGAGATGGAGACCGCCCTGTTCAGACTTCGTCCAAGTCAGACTCACTGCAATCGTGTGAGGGTCGCATTGTCGAGCACTTTGCTGCGTATTTGCCTACTGCAAATCTACTGCTTCGTCTCCCTCCTCGTCTTCCTCGTCTTCCTCCTGCAAGTCATTTCACAGCAAGGAACACTCATGCAATTCCTCATGCTTTGAATGGAATTCTCGTGCAAGGATTAGGGTTTCAGATGATCTCCCCCACCCAATGTTTTAACTTTCTTTTTGCCCCTTCCAAATTCATACATAACATACACTTCTTAAATTTGTCAAACTCTAAATGATGCACATCATGGAGTGAAATTTATTTATTTTACTTATTTGTTTTCTAATTTTTAAAATTTTTATTGATAGTATGGGTGGGCATACACTCATGTAGGGGATCCATTCATGGACTAGCTCCAACTAATCTAAACCCTAATACACCTTCCAGTAGCATTTGGAGAAAAAGATGCTTCTTAAACTCTATTCCCCACCACATGCACATAGAGTTGATTTTTGAAGTCCAAACCAACTTGAGTCCAACCCATTTTCCTTATTGGATTTGAGTGACAATATAATAAGAGAGCAGACCCCTAAACTTGGCCAATCTCGTTGGCCAAATTCTAGCATTGTATGATTCTTGAGGAAGAGTATTTTTACATGATGAACACATTTTGATTGAAACTATGCAAAAAATAAATTAAATTAAAATAAATTGACTACAGGAGGTTAAGACCATGAATGATCATTCCAAGGGCTAATTTCCTCACCAAGAGGAAAAACAACAAATAATACATTCATACTTACGTAGAAATTGAATTTCAATGTACCAATTATTCACCATATTATTGAATACTTCTTTTGATGGTAAGAAAGTAAAATAATAGTTTTTGCTTTTTGTCTTTTGTTTTCTTTGTTTAAAACTAGGCATGTGTATGCAGGAGCTTTTTGAATTTAATGTGATACAGGGCAGAATTCAAAGATTGAATTAATTGTTATTTTTCTTTCTCTAAAGGAGTTAACAGTTAAGGAAGAAATAATAATAAAAATAATATTAAAAAAAAGTAACATCCTATGGGAATTTCCATGTGGAAAAAGTCAACTGGAACTACCTCCTCAATCATGGGCTATTCCGTAAAGGAACTTCCTAAATTATTTATTAAGAAACGAAACAAAACAAAACAAAAAAAACTGAGAAAAAGTCTCTCGTGGCCCTCAGGAGGAAGGGTCGTAGCGAAATTGTCCTAGCTGGACTCGCTGTCCAACCAATCAGAAGAGTCCATGGACCCAGCTGGACGCCACCCATTGGATTCGTGAGGTGGATTGCGCACGTGGATCCAACTGGACATACCACTTGTCGTTCCACGTGGTCCCTCCAGCTGTGTATGAAGCGGCGAATAAAAGGCCAAAAAGCCATCGAAAAAGTTTGATTCAGTCACCACCTTTTGGATGTATCATCGAACAGGATGAAACTTTTCTTCATTCATTCTCCCACAAAGTACCAAAAAGCCTGAGTAACGCTTTAAAGTGAGTCCCCAACTACCTTCTATGTTGTGAAGCCATGAAGGTCACGAGATCTCTCTCATTAATCAAAACCATTTGCACTCTTCTTCATTAAATGGTCAACGATTGTGGATAGAGGAGCCACTAAATTGTAGGGTTTAGTTGACCATGTGGAATAGTGGATTTCGTTGGTGAGGGTTTTATAGGTTGTTCTTTATGACTTGGTGGTGGACAAAACCATGCACCCACTCAAAAAGTTAGTGGGAGCCCAAGGTTCATTTTGAACGTACATTCAATGTCTAATTAATTATCCTACGACTTCTAATAATATACATACCTACATATATTATTTTTCCATTTTTGTATACATGGATTATAAAGAAGAAAGACAAAGTAAGGTGAAATGCTGGAGTGGATGAATGTAAGTTTTGTAATGAGGATGAAGTGGAAGGGAGAAAGGGGGAGTGGATGAGACAAGGTCTTTTGGGATGTGAAGTGAGTCGGCATTTTAAATGGCAAGCTTCACTAATCAATTAATGTAGGTGTGATAATGAGTCATTTTGGGTCCATATTTAAACTTAGCACATAATTGAGCCTTATTCCTATACATAGAACAAGTAACTTGAATGTTCCAAGATTGCATTAGTTGTGGTCAATGACAGGACAAAGCTTCAAACTTTGCAAGCGTTACTTTATTTTTATTTTTTGATTTAATTGTGTTGATGGCGGTAAACAATGGATTGAATGGGAGCTTATTGGGTTCAAGAAAAACAGAAGCTTACCAGTGTATAATATAATAATCTTTATGAATTTGATTATTGTTGTTTCTGTAGAGTTGGGGAAATAGGGTTTTAGAGGCGTGAACATGGTGTAAGTGTTTATAAAAAAATATTAGCAAATAGGCAAAGACAACTAACAGTTCTCCACCAATAATTGTTCACGAGGACCATATTCTAGCTCAATTGCATGATTGTGTATTTATTTTTTTGGTTTATGAGTCAATCTTATTGCATGTACGAGTACAAATATATATACACACACACACATGAATGGTATTCATTATAAATATGTATGTATGTACTGTTAAATATTTGTTTTCTTGTGTCGGCAGGTGCAACAAGTTGATATGAATTGTATTATTCTACCCTCTCCGTCCTCCATCATATATATATATATATATATATACCTTAAAAAAAATTGGCATTATTTATTTAGTTATTTCATTGTTACTATTCTGTGTATTATCCATGAACATAACAAACTAGGTGCCTTCCCAAATGGTAATATTCATGGTAAGACAGAGCAACCATTGAAAACACAAGCATGTGTAAATATGGATGAACAGAACTATCGCTGATGAAGAGCGTTCAAGGTGACAGGAAACTACTTCAAGAGAAAGGGATGAGAAAGTGCCGCTACCGATATGAATCATCACTTTTGGTATCTGAGTGAATATTCATTCATTCATCGTCCACGGCGAGCCTGTTTGGGGGGAAACAGATGAAAAACGGTAGAGCAGCTTCCAAGGCTGACTCGGGTATAGGCAACCCAGTCTCCATAGCCGAGTCATGGGGATGACCCCCTATTACCCCAAGCACATGGGCAGGGGCAGTTGCCATGATTCCAGGCCCCAACTCACTTGGTCCAATTTCTATGTAAGACATTTACGAATGAAAACATTCATCCAAATGAAATTTACGAATCCATCCATCGTTATCAACACTAAACTCCGATTTTTTTCCACAATACCCACGTGGCGGTTATAAGTGGGACTCATGGGCTGAGGAGGCTTTTAGGTAAGCATTTGAACTAACTGCCCTTTCGAAGGGGAAAAGAGGGAAAGGGGGATTGATCCTACGTGGCCAACTTGAGGCTGAGCTGGACGCTGCCCACCTGGGCTCCATACCCCCCCTCCACAATGCCACCTCCTCACTTTGTTTGCTTGCGTGGCGGCCCTGGAATCATCCCATTGGCCCGGACCCCTCTCATCGATTCCTTTGATGAGGTAGTCATTGGCTCCCAAGATTGCCCCTCATTGCCATGTGGAAGACAAGGTAATAAATGGGAATGTTGGCATTCACCTAAATACTTTGTGGTGGATTGAAGAAGAAAGAGGAGGCCTATTTGCAAATACAACAATGAAATGCAATAGGATTGGATGTGGTAATATTGAAATAAAGTTGGGAATTTGGTTATTTAAGCCCCACCTAACCCCCCTTAATTATCCCACTTGGATCATGTGTCTCTTGTTCTCTTGTTCCTCTCCCAATTTCATATACAAAACTAATTAATTAATTAATATACA